TTAGATAGCACCGAATGTTTACTGTAAGTTTTCGTTTGCATGACACACGATTTGTAATAAGTAAACATTATTTTATCGCTAGGTCCACATTCGACCGTGAGTTACATGCAAGAAGCAATCACAAGAGATCCCGGCATAATATCCACATGCTTGCTTATCCGAGTCTATCATAAAAATCAAGCATCGGGTTTGCTTTCGTGTACTGAGTTAGATATCAAGTCGGCGTAATGTTAGACATTAATTTTCACACCGTTCAGAATTTTGCTATCAATTGACAGGCTGTTAGTGCCATTATCCTTTACTTGAAGTAATGTCAGAAGGTGGATAACACTAACAATAAACAGTTAAGTATAGTGGCTACCAGAGACACCAGTACAATTGAATAATACACAAAAAGGAAGAAGACATATCGAGTTCTTCTCTTGATAAGTTGTAGTAGATGCGGCCGAGTTTTGTAGGACGCAGTTGAACTGAATGCGGGTCTTGACAGAGCGGGCTGAAATCTGGCCTGTTTCTTGTCGCCTAATCCAAAACGATATTGAGTTCAGACATTTCCTGCACGGTGAAACGTGTTTGGGTTTGAAGTGACCTCCGGTCAAGGCGCTGTGTGAAGTGACGAGCGTCGGCAGGTTAGGATGCGCTTTCATTGTTTGTCTTAGGATAANTTGAAGATAAACGTTGACGGGATGGTACCCAACAAGACCAAACCCCCAAAGCCACCGGGAATTTTCTTTTGCTTAATGTCAGCTCATCAGATTGAAAGATCAATGTTACAGAGAATAAACATTTTGAAGGCGCTTTGGGCAGATAATAAAAGAGCATACGACACGCAAAGTTCTTCACTACTGAGCCCAGCTTACAAAAAGAATGACTAAGGAAAATATGACTCGTTGTGTGACAGTCTGCCTGATGTACGCTTTTAAAGTTGTGCAACCAAGCAAGTTTTTTTTCACTCTAGCCAACAACACAAAATGTGAACAAATAGCTGCACTGATGACCCTTCGGGCAGACGACGCCGTCTGACAATCTTGAGGACAGACGAAGCCTGTGACACTAATATCCCATTGCAAACCACCAGAATTGCAACTGATTAGACAAACTGTAACTCACATTACGTTTGCATGCTGGGATGAGAGCCAGACCACCCGTGTATGTAAGATCACCTGTGCTCTGTGAGGCTCCTTCGTAAACTTTCACCGCACATGGCGCTTAAACCATAGCATTTTTGGACGTTTTTGTACAACTATTGCTTTCAGATGACAAAGCCACTGAGATGTTAGCAACCAGCTTGCAGCGATCAGAAGACAATAAGGTGTTTAATTTGAGTATGATACCGTTCGGATTATGGAGTGAATACATCCTTGCTTGCCAAAGCCCAAGTGGTCTTTTCACGTGTGATGCTACGCAGTCCCCATCCGGTTCTGAAAGCTGGTAGATGCTAGAAACGAAGAAATGCTCTCTCGGACACACGAAATATTATTTGTCTGATACGCCCTTCAGTAATCGTTTGCGTGACCTGATCGAATGCTGCGGCCCTGATTATTTTGGGCAAGTTTGCACCTCCGACTGTGTGAGGCGCCAAAACATACGTCAGGATTTGTTGGTAGGCACTTTCAAAGTAGCTGTATACTTCGGCTAGGGCAGAACTTCGGCATTTATCCTCGTCGGCCATTTCTTCCAAACCGTCTCCGACGTATCATTGACGATTGACTCGTTTGCCATTACTACAGGCGCCTTTGCACGTACAAATCATTATCCAAAGAACTAGGTAAAAATAATCACTCATCAACCTCCGAAAAAATATGCTTCAACTTGCGTGCGTCTGTTACTGAGACACAGATCTCCATCTGTAAGAGTCAACGATGCGTCTCAAAACCAGAAATTCCCACATCAGGTGTGCAGTTCACGTTGCTGTAAACGTGCTCGGATAGCTCACTTTTTACTCAACATATATATCGTGAACTTGCTGTTATGCCACACGATGTCCACGGTGCGGAAATTAAGTGCACCACACGGCTAAGCGTGCTATACCGGATGGAATCCACATAAACGATCAGATCTGCCCTTTTGGATTACTCACTTGTGATCAATGCAGACTGATGGGAAAGCAGAGTTTATTTATTCTATGAGCGTATACCTAGCACAGTGCAGTTCAGAGTGTGAGAAACACGCGTTTTAAGTAGATTTGTATTGACTGTCTACTTATTCAAATATAATATTGAACAACAACAAGATTCTGGTGAACCATGTATTCGTCATTTTTAAACTTACTTGAATTTCGGATCCCCCTTCTCTCTGGGGTTATACAAGCCAATTCTGGACCAGTTTACATTACACTTCCGTCAGCACCAACGCAGCCGAGGCAAGGCAGGTTCAGCGTTTTTCTCTAGCTCAAGATTATATGGTGTAGGAGACGATTGCTTGAAGAATAAAGAAAAAAAGAATAAAGAAGGACATGCTCCAACATTTCAGCATTTTCAGCACGCCTTACTGCTGACAAAATTTACATGCCGGCAACTGGAAGTCATGGAGGCGCACACAGACCCTAAACAACGCTTTAAGAATGACAGAAACGCTGGCAAATGCGAAAGACTCAGGAGTAGGTGCAGGTGTACAATGCAAGTGAGAGCTACGTTTCACTTCAACCCATTTGATCGACTGACCAGATAAGAAGATACATTAGCGAAACAAAAGCTTATCACAGGGAACTCCATTAAGTTAGAGTTAGGCCAAAGTGTCCCAGTATCTCCATCTGTAGAATCAGCGGAAAACTGTCGTGATCAAAATACGCCAAACTTGAGTTATCTTTCTTTTGAAGCAACAATAAAGCCTTCGAATTGGGCTGGAACCGTACTTCAATCAAGCCGAAACGGTCAGGGATGACGATCCTGCATTTAGAAATGATCAGGATTTGAGTAGCGTCACCACTTTATTTGTTCAAATTGATCATTTTTCTGCTTTTCAAATCCACCACTGTCAAGAACTCAGGAAACGCAAAGCAATGAAAACGATTGCCTCATCTCTTCTACGTTCGTATCAGAATTTCGCAGTCATTTAACCCATCATTTACTCGCACCCAGAAGCACTGCTAAAACTGGACTCCTGAAAACCGGTGTACCCCAAAACACAAGATTCCCACGCGAGGAGGATACAGTAGTCCGCGCAGCTGGTTCACAGGTTCCCTGGGGATGTATCTTTGTTCGGACCAGGTCATGCCGACTTGTACACCACTGTCGTTTAGATCAGTTGCATTTCCGCTTCATCAGCATAGGCCCCACGTATCGTATGACCTTTGCTCATCTGGCGTGAACAATTTTATTGAGGATGTTTCATACCCAATCACCAGGAATATCGCCATTTACAGTTCAAGTGGCATAATATTCATGCAGGATAGACCACAATTCTTAAATTACCAGCAATACAAACAATTCAAATAGGATATCAGGGGCGATTGCGATGGAAATTTTATCATCCACTTTTCAGTTGCGTAAAGCGGAGGTGAACGGCGTTACCGGACATTACACAGGACAAGGTCAACAAATCAGCTTTATTTAATCGATAACCAACGGAGTGATTAAGGTAAGTTGACCACAGTAATCTCCATGAACTCAAGGAAGAGAAATCCCATAAAGATAGTGTGATTTTCGTTGAACAGTAGATTAAGCTGAAGTCAATTAGCATTAGAGTACTGGAAGGTTAGTAGTACAAGTTAGTCAATGTTACGGTTGTAATAGGAATTCGGCGTTGCCTGCCAACATAGTCCTCATTTTCAGGACAAACTTTGATTAACATAAATTTACTCAGGTTGCTCTTTTTTCAAGTATAAATAAACTCGTTGTTCCCATGGGTTTTAAGCAACACACAATGTTGCTGATCATCCTGTTCTCGGTATGTTGCCAGGTATTGGCGGAAAGTAAGTGTACTTCAATGATCTCCTTTTGTCTGTGAGAATAGGGGATAAACAGAACGTTCCAGGAACCACGACTGGTCAGCTATAGGTATTCCTTAGCAAATGCTCACTCAGGGTGTCGAATCTGTTGAATAATAGGACACGCTCATAATTCTGAGTTGGTGCACGACCATTTGCGCAAAAAAATCATGACTAATCCAGACGCTCAGGCTTTCGATTCCGTCCATGCAGCACACTTGGATTCTACGCAACAACAGTCTATAAAACTTGCATACGTTCAACTATTTTCCTACTGTTTTATTATGGCTCAGATGCTCCTGAAAATGTTGCGCTCGGAAAGAAACTTTCGGGCGATGGGAAGTGGTTGGAACGTCTGGTGGATGGAGACCTGATAAGGCCGTTTGCACCAAATGCCATTGAGTTCCCCTACTACTACGTGGACCTCGGTGCTGTCTACAATCTGACATCGATTAATCTACACGTTCAAAATGTCTGGACTTTCGGTAAGTGTACTCTCAGGGAGCATACGTGGTATGAATGACTTCCGATTTCCCAGTTGACAATTGTCTCGGGCGTCAGAATTGTTGCATAATACCTGATGTTTCCGAGAAATAAACAAGTCCTTGGCGTCAGGAAATATGTGATACAAAGCATTTGGCCTGTGATAACTTAATCATCAATACAGAAGCAAGACGTGGCAGCCCACGTTAGTGCACAACTGTTTTGGGCGTCCATCTACTTAAACTGCATATGTAGCAGTCAAACGCTCGCTTTGTTTTCGGTTTCCAAGTAGTTTAAGATAACCTGAAGATATAGAATCGATGAACATTCATTTGCTGTCTGAGCTTCGGGTATGATTTGGATGATTCAGAATAGACTAGTTTTATGTTAACCAGCACGCGGAAATTGTTACATTCTAAAGGAAACTACTCACAAGGTTCCTGAAAACTCTTTGACAGCCCATTCAGCTGGAGAACATCATAAACGAGAGATTTAATTGAGTCACCCGTGAAAACCAAATTGATTTGCAGATGAGTGTATTTCTTGTTACTTCCTAATTCGTCAATTTAAAATTTGCGGTGCTTCTTACTCCTCAGCTTTTTCGCGGTCAGACAGCTTGTCCGCGTTTGCAGTACTGCTGGCGATAATTTACCATGGGCAGCCTCTGAGGATACTGGGGAAATTTCCTGCTGTCTAGATCTCAAGTATGTCCACACTGAGTGGCCTATAATTACTACTAGAAAACACACACTCGCTAGCCAGTGATTTGCTGTTAAATACAGGCTTCCGAACATCACGATCATGTCCAGATTGTGCACACGCCATCTGCCGCCAGATGCGAGTTGCCTTAAATCTAAAGCTGAAAGTCAGTTGAGCAGGAGTTCCTCAGCACCAATGCTCACTATCCTCAACTCCCATGGAACTGGTCGGTTTCGTATAACTCACATATACAAGATAATTTTTCCAGGAGCCGTTAACGATGTTTTTGATATGTAACGGCGCTGTTGATGCAGATCATTGCCACAGACCGATTTTCTTTTACCGGTGTTAGCACAGCCCTCAAAGTGTCGCTTCTTGTATAGTTTTCAACCACAAACTACCCCTGAATAGGTTTGAAACAGCGTAAACACGTTCATTCAACTAGTTTCGCCGTACTGAGCTTGAATGGCGCTCACTCTTAGGTGTACACGAAACACCTATCCACAAGGCCACATGTGGATCATGCCCGACAACCTGGAATTCATTAGAAGAAAATAGTTGCATAATGAATCAACAAGTAAAGTCACTCCCATTCAAAAGGCAGTCGGTGAATGAGGTCTCACAAAGGTCGTTAGGCGCTATCTTTATGCGAACAGACTGACCTAATTGGAGTTTCCGACAGAATGGTACGGAAACCTAGCCAGCTTCTACAGTTTCTACAGGCCCCGGAAAACAAGGTCTTAACCACCCAAGGGATGTTATTTTCAGTGGTGGCTGGAGATCACCCAGTATATACAGATATTGGCTGGAATTCTCACCGGAATAGCGAATTCTTGACGCATCTTCACATGTAGTATAGGAACGTACTACACTGGTATACGTATACTAGAAAAACACACCAAATCCGCTTTGTGTGAGCCAGATGGAAAAAGTTCATCATGGCAAGATAGCGATGCGTTTTGTGCTCAGTACTGTGGGTAGACTTCGTACGGGACTTGGACCAGCGCAGAAACCTCCAGCTTCTTTCAGCTCAGGGTCGACCTCTTTGCAATTGACGAAACTGAGCCTGTCGCTGAGTTTGCAACAATGCATATAAATCAGGGAGCAGGTCATGATTCCGATGCAACAGACCAAAAAATCGCTCAATTTCGAAATGTAAAAGCCTCGGTTGATCTTTACGGTCGAGTACAACTTCCGACAACGTTCTTCCTGATCATGTCCTATTGTCTTGAAACGGAGGGCTCTAGGTTTAATCATGGAAAATAACCTTGTGAAAAATTATTCGATATAATGATTTACTAAGCGGTGTGGTTTCAATCTTGCTGTCTGACTACATGCATGTGCGGTGAATTGTAACGCTGGGGCTTACAAAACCCCACAATGCGTTGGACATTTCCTTGATACCGCTGCAGCTGTACATACAACTCACTGATACTGATACTACTGGAAGGTGAGCTTCGAACACGAAGGTGTTCTCCATCATTTCAAATGACCGCAGGCTGTGGTCAAGATCATACGTGAGCCAATGAGTAGGGCGTGATACCGCTGATCCCAGCGGAAGT